CTTTTCCTGAAGCATCCTTCACCTACGTGTCTCAACTGAAAGAGGACCACAAACAGAAAAAATATAATAAAATGTGGAGATTTTGGGATATTTACTTTTTGGACATTTTACAGACCAAACATGTACTTCATTTCATTTTAATTTCAAACCTTTATTTAACCAGATTGGTCCCATTGAGATCATAGATCTCTTTTTCAAGGGAGACCTGCAATTGTACTTAATGTCTCCGTTTAGCAAATTACCACTTTTTGTGAAAAATGCATACAATTATGCAATATATGTTAAATACATGGTTTATACATGTAATTACTGGGGTTCCATTTCTTCTGATTACCTAATTTGGGCGTGCACATTTGCCGCGCGCAAACCTACCTCTTTTGGATTTGGAAAGGTTGGCATGTATGATATTGTAATAGAAAATAGCCATCGTAAGTGTTAAAGTAACACAAGCGTCAAAATATCTGCTGTAAAAAAGGGCAATTGAAGAGAGAGAAAAAGCTAATTGCGCTAACAAGCCTGCTAACCCACAGCTAACTGTTGTAGCTCGGCTTGCTAATGTGCTAGCTTTTTAGCTTGGTTGTTCAAGGTAAAGATACGTTTGTTCATGAGTCTTATTTGTATCAACGACTTTTGTCTCATAACCCGTCCGTTAAATATTTGTCTTTTGCAGAGCAGGTTAAATAAAACTGGATGGAGCAACACTGCTAATAAGCTGTTAGCCTCCACCGTTTTGGCAGGGCTGCCAACATTTGAGTTCAGCTTGGAGTGAGATTTTTTTTTTGGTGAACCGAAAAAAGAAACGTTCATGTGTGCAGTGTTACAAATGTATTGAACATGTACAAACTAGGGTTTCCCATTAATGTACCGGGCGCTACAGTGGAATACGCACATACAATACTCTTACAATGAAGGCTCGATAATCAGCTCACAGCATATAAAATGGCATATAGGTGTAAGCAGAGGTAAAGTGATATTTTATAAGTGGGGGGGGGTCCTCACCTCCTAGGGGGGTCCGGGGGCATGCTCCCCCGGGAAGATTTTCTTTTTAAATATTGAAGTTAAATGCATCAACCTGGTGCACTTTGAGAGCAAAATGAATTTATGGATACATCTCTCAACACCCATATGAAACAGAACTGTGAACAGATTTTATTTTTCTTTATGGATATTTTACAAATCACTCCTCTTTTAAACTTTATTCTTGTTTTACTGTCATATAGTATTTCATAACTGTTTTTCATTTATTCTCATAAATGGTGACCAAAACGTTTGAGACCCACTGAGATAACTAGACTAAAGTTAACTATCTCAGAGTCCTTTACCTCACTGAGCTGTAGTTATCTCTCTCAGTCTGACAGCAGAGAGCTCTCCTCTCCTTGTTTTAGAAACAGCTTCTAATATCCGTTAGCGCAGCTAGCTAACCAGATGCTAACAACAACAATGCAAATAGTGAGTTTGGTAGAAATATACTGTATAATGGCAAAGTTATTCAAGATAATGCCATATTTATTGAAGATGTTACATTATAAATATTCCCCAAATTATTCAAAAGCATATTCTTCCAAACTCTCTGCTGTAGTATGACCACCAGGAGACTATTGATGTGTGTGGTGAGCAGAGTTGGGTGTAACGCGTTACTGTAATAATATTACTTTTGTTGGTAACGGAGTAGTGTAACGCGTTACTTTTATAATTCAGTAATCACACTACAGTTACTAACATTGCCCCGACACGCGTTACTTCATTACTTTTATAAAATCAGTCATAATCACACTGACAGACAAGAGGGGTTTCCGCCGCAGGTTTATATGTACGTAATCTGCGCGACTTGCGCGTCCACATCTCCACAGTGCTGCATAAACATGGCAGAGTCAGCGATAACTTTCGAGGGGTATGCCCATTATTTTGAGTTCGTCCGAAGAATAGACAGGAATGTGACGGTGAGGTGCAAACTGTGTCCAGGCCAGAAGCTGTTATACACTGCTGTAAACACCACGTCAAACCTCAACAAACACCTGCAAAGAACACATGCTAAGGTGAAGCTAATAGCTAAGGACCACCGAACCCAGAGTGAGGATGTTGTGAGTCGCCGCCGCCGACTCCGAAGCGGCACAAATTAGAATTTGGAGGACCGGTAACCAAAGCAGAGATGGACAGGCTTGTAGCATCCTTCATAGTAGAGGTAATGTTGCCCATTTGCACAGTGGAATCACCATCGCATCGTTCAGAGATATTCTGCGCAAAATACAGATAGCAGGAGACAGAAGACAGCCATAGTCAGAGCTATCTGGATCAGTCTTATGCGACAATGGAAACTGAACTAAAGAGAACATTTGAAACTTTAGCAGTCTGCGTGATCTGCCTGTAGGGAGGGGCGGGCTGGCCCTGCGAGTAAAGTAACGAGTAACGAGTAAAGTAACGAGTTACTTTATGTAGAGAGTAACGAAGTAGTGTAATATATTACTTTTTTTTTAAAGTAATATGTAATATGTAATATATTACTTTTTTTTAGTAAAGACCCCATCTCTGGTGGTGAGTTTGGTAATAATAAGCTGTATAATAGTGATTGAATATTATTGTATTCTCTTTTTTCGGAGTTGCACTTTGCAGACGGTCCCTGAGCACTCGTTTCTTCTCCGGCTGCGAATAGAGACCAATGTAATGTGTCCAGCTCGGAGGACGGCGCGTATTGGCTTTTTTTTATCAAAATGTGATTGTAGTTCGTTGTCAACCTTACCACGGTACTTAGGAGACGTCATTTGTGTCTGAATAACGTTTTGTTCATGAGTTATTGATCAGTGAAATCAGAATCTGCCAATATCGTTCCAACTTTACTGAACTAAGCCAGAAGACCGTCTCATTTCGTAGACCGCTCGGTTTGCTGTTCCTTAAAGGGGACCTATCATGCAAAATGCACTTTTGTACGTCTTTTATACATGAATATGTGTCCCCGGTGTTCCAGGGAACTCACCAAGTGTCAGAAAACACAACCCTCTCTATTTTCCTCCATACCCAAATCTCTAAAAAAGGGGCTGCAACGGATCTGATAAAAACTGATCCAGATTTGAAAACTGTCCTGACGTCAGGACAGTGGCTCTACGGCTATTGGGCCAACTTCACCAATCAGGAGGAGACAGCCATTGCCGTTCGAAAGCGCTGGAGACGCTGTAGTACATATGCCAGGCCTGTAGGTGGTGCTGTTCTCACTGAATCAGCCCTTGCAAAAACAGGGGTAAAAAAGTTCAAATTGAGCGAAATGAGGCATGGCATCCCCATCTCCTGAAGCCCGCAACCTGGGTGTCATCCTTGACTCCACCCTTTCCTTCCATTCCCACGTCAAATCTGTGACCAAATTGGCCTTTTTCCACCTGAGGAACATTGCCAGACTCCGACCGTCACTCTCGGAGTCGGTTGCCGAAACCCTAGTGCATGCATTTGTCACCACCCGCTTGGACTACTGCAATGGTGTCCTGTTCGGGGTTCCCAAAAAAAACCTGGACAGGCTCCAGTATGTCCAAAACTGTGCTGCTAGGGTACTCACACACACAAAGCCGTGGCAGCACATCACTCCCACCCTCATCCACCTACACTGGTTGCCGGTCAAGTCCCGTATATCGTACAAAGTACTCCTCCTTACCTACAAGTCCCTCCATGCCCTTGCCCCCCAGTACCTATCGGACATCCTTCACCCACATGCCCCACCCCGGAACCTGCGGTCCTCAGACTCTGGCCTGCTTACCACCCCCCGCACCAAACTGCGAACCTTCGGGGACAGAGCCTACAGTGTGGCAGCCCCCACTCTCTGGAACGCTCTCCCTGCGGAGATTCGCAACATCCCCACACTCGACGCCTTCAAAAGGGCCCTCAAGTCCCATCTGTTTGCCAAGGCTTTCGGCCCCTAATCGATCTGTTGTTTTGTCTGTCTGACTTTTGTTTTGTTATGTTTGTTTTTGCTATATTACTTGTAAAGCGACCTTGGGTCCCTTGAAAGGCGCTATATAAATGCAAGCTATTATTATTATTATTATGGCTAAAATGCATGATCTGTTCGGTATTTTGAAAAATAAAAAGTATAAATATGCCTTATATAGGTATGGTCCTACACTATATTATTATAATATAGCATGATAGGTCCACTTTAACTTTATTTTTATATTTATATACATTTATTTTGGACGAAAACTTAGCGTGAGGAAAGGCAAGTGTGGCGTGAGTGCGTGAGATATGGGTTAATTGCGTGACTCTCACGCTCAATGCGTGAGTGTTGGCAGCCCTGGTTTTGGAGTGCTGCCAAGACGCCTTGCTATGGGTCAATGGTGCAGAGAGTATGTCTGTCAAAACTCATAGAGCCGATTCCTTTAAAATTAGATCCTTTCTCTCAGAGAGACTTTTTGCCATTGTGAAAAGGGACATGTTGTTATTGTTAGTTCTGGTTTCACCTGGCATTTTTTTTATTTAATTTAAATTTATTTTCTTTGGGAAAAACAACCCAAATCGGGATCAATAAAGTAAATCTTATCTTATCTTAATTTTACAAATGATTCCTGATTGGGCACATTGTGTCAACTATAAACTTTAATAACTGCATTTACAGTAACCAAAGTGTCCCAATGGTTATGAAAACTGTTTCATAAAGCTTGGATTACTTAAACACATAAGATAGAATGAGTTAATAATATTATATATGTGTGTCCTTTATGTAGATAAAGTTATTTGTTGTGTTAATAAAGAAAGTAAATGAGGACTAAGACTGAGATGTGTGATGCATGCAGAGTAAATAATGGATCCATCCCATGGTAAATGTGGCTGCCACAAATTATGAAGGTATCATTTATTTAATTACAGTGCAGCTATACTTACATACAAGTTATATTTAATTTGTGCTTCTATGTTCTTTATGTTCGGTCGAAGTCGTCCATGCTCACACAGAGAACTGTACTATATGCACTGTTTTTTATTTGAGAATTAAATACTAATAGATGTCAATTGTCTCTCAACAGTCCAGAAGCTACATGTGCAGCAGCCAGGGGAATGTGCTGTGCTTCACCATAGATTTTGGATCAGGCTTCACCTGCTCAGAAAGCTCTTCAAAGGTGAAGTGTTACTAAGTTCAATTCAATTCTTGTGAACAACTTGTTCTGTGCTGTTCTTCCCTTAATAGCTTCTGAGACTGCAATTTGACTTCTTTTATTTTCCTCATTGATTTCCTATACACTTGTCCTTTCTCTCTTAGGCTTCCATTGTATTTGATAATATTTATTTTTAAATAACCCTCACATTTCCATGATAAATGTCTCAAATGTCACTTATTCTGCACAATGGCCTTTAGAGAACAATGTGAACAATCACTATATCTTAGAGAAGGGTATGCTCTTGTTAATAATGGTACATTTTGAGTGTATTCATTTTTTATATTTATCGATTTATCGTTCTCACTGCAAGAACGTTACAGCACGGATTTCATAACATTTTGTTATTAATGACATTTCCTCAAAGTATTGCACATCGGAATGTCTCTCAGTAGCCTTTTTATGTTGTGCTCATTATAAAAATCCCTGTGCGGCTGCTGCGTTTTTATAATCCTCCTCTTTCCGTTGTAGACCGCACTGTGGCGATATAAGTTCTCTCAACTTAAAGGCTCCTCTGATGATGGGAAAACCAGGGTGAAACTGCTTTTCAAGAATGCTGAAAGCAACCAAATAGAGATGAAGGTAATCCTTTTTTTAACATCAAAAGTACTGTTACACAATGTCCCGTTGCAATTTTCTTTTGTATCACCAATTATTGCTCACCTTTAACAATGAGCTAACGGATGTATTTCTTGGTGTAATAAATTAGGTTTCCCAAGATGTTTTAAAGGAATACATTACTTTAGATGTCATTCAGCTTACCTTTTTTTTTTTTTAAACGACTTGCATACACTTCAACACCGTAGAAATTCCTATGGAAGCAATTTGGGGTTAAGTGTCTTTCCCGAGGGCAATTGGACCTGTTGACCGCAGGGACTGGGGATCGAACCCCTGACCATCTTACTGGTTGACGCCCATTACCCCCTGAACCACCCAAGCTACCCTAGCCTACCCTGCTTTACCTCCTTAACCTACAAAATGACCATTTGTATATCAATATGAATACCTGGAATTCTTTAGGAAACCTGTATTATTTTTGCATGACTGAAGTAAAAATATTTTTTTAAACAAAGAAGAGTCTCGATGACTTGAAGAAAATAGTAAGTATGATGTTAAGTTAGAAGTTTTACAACAGCAAAACTTTATCATTTGTACAGTACACAAACATTCTCTGGCTTGTCCATGAACACTATCTTTAGAATAATGAGACCATTATCAAGATGAGACATGATTAAAATGTTGATAGAGTTTTGCTGTTTTTAGCGCACATTTAAAGATGCCCTATAGAGTGGCGAAGTCACGCCCATCTACTTCCGCCCCATGGGACCTTATTTCGGAAAAATAATGTATTGAAGTCAATGGAGAGAGAAAACGTATCTTTCGATCCCGTTTGAATTGTGCCATGAATTACACATATGATGTTTGTCAATCTTAAAAAATAATTTCCATGTCAAAAAAGTCACAGTTTGTCGTAAAACTGTTGAAATATAAGACTATGAAAAATACGCAACTAGAAAGACTACAAATCCCAGAGTCGCGTAAGTGATGTCACAATTGTTTTCCTCCACTAAAATAGAGATAGCTAAGATAAGATAACGCCATATAGATATAATCTATCTATATGGCGCTGGCTAAGATAAGATAACTTTAACAAGATGCCTGTGTGCTTAGTACCAGGTTGTTATCATACCAGCAATGGGTCTTGCTCGTTCTTTTGCTTCCCGTCTGATGAAAGGACCAGGAGTGGCTTGATCAAGTTAGCTACCTAGCTAGTAGCTAGCACGTTAGTTAGCATTACAGCCTTGTCATTTTTATTAGCCTTAACATGAAGTAACATTAAGTAACCCAAAATGTTAAACAGTAAGAGTAGTAGTCATATTTCGTGAACCCTTTGAAGAGTACTGTCACCGGTGTGGCCATTCTATAATACACAATTTAAGCCCGGGGGAGAAATGCTAACGCTAACGCTAGCGATCTTTTCTACTTCATGCTATCTGCACAAATGGTTGACATTAAACATTAAAACGACCAGGCAGTTCAGAGAGAATCAAAGGAAGGCAGGCAGGCAGCTTTGCATGACATTCTTCAGGACGTGTTTCATTGTGGTGATAGTGAGGGTAGTCAATCGTTTTGTTGACAAGACAGTAGTGACGGCCATCTTGGTGACGTGTGTTGTTGACCAGAGATGTAGTTCATTGAGCGTTTCACACAAACAAATGTGTTACTTCACAGTTTTACGACACATTTGTTTTTTTTTGACTTGCAAAATTATCTTTTAAATTGACAAACATCATATGTGTAATTCGTGGCACAATTGAAACGGGATCGAAAGATAATCTTTCTCTCTCCATTGACTTCAATACATAATTTTTCCGAAATAAGGTCCCATGGAGGTCCACCGGAAGGGGAGGGACTTCGCCACTCTATTATGCTTTAGGGGGTTTTCCCTTTCCTGTACTGTGTTATATCGTTTTTTTTGCATGTAAATGGTCTGCAAAGACTGAAATTAGCGCTCTAACACATTGTACGTGATAGGCTAAGGGGCTGAACATCACAACAGAGCCGGCCAGCTAACCAATCAGAGCAGACTGTGCTCTGGTTTCAGACAGAGGGTGAAAAGAGGTGCTGAAGCACAGGCAGGATGAGAACAATAAAGAGCTTTCTGAACATTAAGGCATGGAAACTTGTCAAATGAAAGGTCCCAAATATGAACCTGAAAATGAGCATAATAGGGCCCGTTTAAGTTTCCTTCAAAAATTCAAGGTAACTCCGGGTAGCCATTTATATACAAATGTTCATTTTGTGGGTCAAGCATTTGTTAAGTCTGACTCTGAATATGTTGTTATTTAAAGTATGAACATAATATACTAATTGTAATCTGTCCTTATGTTGCAGGAACTAGAGTTTGCCAATCTAACGGCCGTTCTTCACTGTATACATTCTTTTATCGCTGCCAAAGTGGCCTCCATGGACCCTCTCTTTATGTGCAGTCAAAGCTTCCCTGGAAATTACATAAACAGTTAAAGACTCATCCTCATTGTCATGTGCAACTGTGGCAAACCAGAAGTATTTTCAATTCATATGTATATCTTGTTCTTGCTATTTTTGTATGAACTACTTCAAAAAAGAGTATTTATAAATGACTGTATAGGTACATAATAGGCGCTTTCACACCGGAGTACTTTTCCCCGTACTTTTCCCTTTTAGTTCCGATAGTTCCTGGGATTTTGCGTTCACACCAAAAAGAGAACTTAGTTCATGAGAACTTTTCCCCCCTTTTCAGTCCCTGCTAGAGAGCAGGTACTTTCCTGGGGAGAAAAAAGTTCCAAAAGTCCCAGCAGCTTCTACTGAAGCCAGTCCCCAACTCCGGGGACTTCGGGTGGCAGTATACACCGAGAAGTTGTTTGCGGCCTGCCAGTAAACCCAAAGCAGAAGAAGAAGAAGTGACGTCAGCGGCTTCATTTGCGTAATCCTCCCTCAGGGACTTATTCCGGTGTGAACGCGATCTGCTCTTTAGTTCCATGGGGGAACTAAGTGCTGGGAACTAAGTACGGCAAAGTACTTTGTGTGAAAGCGGCTTATGTATACATTAATGATGGAAGGAACATTTAATTTTTGATCCAAACGTATTCACAGTTCTTCCATTTATTTCAATATATTTTCTTTCATTACATAAAGGATTGGAGGTTACATTGAGGTTAAATTGAAAGTAGCACATGCTAACAGATGACCTGTAACTGCCATACATTTGAAAGCAGGATACAGATCACCCAACATAGCAACTGCCTCTTTTTTTAGCATTTAAAGGTCCCATGTCATGGCCATTTCTACTGATCATAATTCCATTGTTGAGGTCTACTAGAATAGATTTATTTTGTGCAATTTTCCAAACTCACATTGGTTTCTCATACAGCATCTCTGTATAGTATGTGTATTCACTCTCTGTCCTAAACGGCTTGTTGGAGCTCCTGCCCCCCCCCTCCCTGTGAGCCCAGTGGCCGTCTGCGAGACAGCGAGACACAGCGAAACCCAGCCCGAAACCAGCCCGAGCACACACAGCCTGGCTGGGAGTTTGTGTGTGTGCTCACATACAGACTCACAGCCTCGCCGCGTCCCGCCGTCACAGGCGGAGAAATCGGCGGAGCTGCAGCTGAGAAAAGATTGAGTGTGTGTGTGTGAGGAAGTCCGCGGATTGGTCCATTTGGACCAATCCACGGACTTAACGTAACGGCTCCGTGGACGTAACGTAACTATACCCAAATATGTCACTATACCCAAGAAGAAAACAATGGAAAAAGAGAAATCTCCAACGAGGCGTTCTGGGGCAGCATCGACAGGTATTTTTTGTGTTAGAGTTTTACTTGCTACAGGGTGTACTTTGAGGGTTTGTGACTCTGCATACCGTTTACATGAATAAAAAGCAACATAACACACAAGAGGATGGGTAATAACCAGAAAAGCATGACATGGGACCTTTAAATTAATCTGATGTTGTCTTACTGTCAAGTGGGATTTCACATTTGTCCCACCTTTGAAAGTATTTTCTCCTATTCTAATTGACACTTAACGGTAATGAATAGCTAACGGTTTTGTTATGTCTGCGAGCATAAACACCTTACAGTATAATGCAGTCTGATAAGCCTCCAAATAGCCAGTGAATTGAATCAACACATCTCATATGGTTTTAACATAAGGCAGAAATTAGCTGCAGGGCTAATTTATTGTATTATGTTTGTGCTATTGTGACAATATTTAGTATTTAATAAAGGCAACCTTTTCTGAGCTCTCTGACCATTTCAGTGAAACGTGGCGTTTCAGCTTCAACGTTTTGTTAAAGACCCACTTTTATGAACTCATAGTCTAATACAGTGAACATACTGTATGTCCTAAGTTGCTTTATGTAATGGTTTTAGTGTGAAAATGCATATTTTTGCTGTGTTTTCAATAAATTGTTCATAAAGCACAACTGCCTGTGACTTCTTTTACAGGGGGATATAACTTTAGCCCTGACATTAAATTAATAAACTTCTGTGTAACATATTGTATAACATTATCCCAATCTGTACGTAACATTAGCTTACAGTTCATTTTAAAATAATAGCCTGAAATTGCTTTTTTGGCTTCATCGTTTGTAGGAGCTTTGTAATTAACTATTTATTGGATGGACACAAGGCCTTTCTACCTTGTTGTCACATTAAAGTTGCCACAAAAGCAGAGATTCAGCACGACCCTTTGTAAAACCACAATATGTAGTTTTTACACTTTTGTTTTAAACATAAATTAAACCAGACATTAGCTTCAAGGATGGCTGGTGGGCAGATATCTTACCCTGGGACAGGACCAGGCTTGGCCCTCCGACCTTTATGCTAGGCTTAATAACTGTCTCTTGACAGTACATTCATATTTGATTGACGGATTAAAGTTTGGTCTTGATCTTTGATGTAACCTTCTGCATGAATCAGCATATTCCCCAAAATGTCACACTTTTCCTTGCCATGTTTGTCCAATGGGTAGCTAAATCTAAACTGCTGATAAAAAAACATGTACTGGTAGTCAAGGCTATGCAATTATTAAAAAGAAAACTCAGGACACATTAAACATGTTTATTTAATTTTCACTTTAAAAATCCTGCTTTTGGTGTGATTTTCCTTTGAGAAAAGAGAGGAAAGAGAGGAGACCCGCCTGAGAAGCATTTTATGTTACGCATTCAAAGTAAAAGAAAGTGTCATATATCTACATTTATTCAAAATAAAAATAGTTGAGAAGTGTTCAGCTGAGTGCCATTGTCAGTGGCAATTCATTTCCATGTGTCAGGCAAAACAAAAGCCCTGAGGTAATAAAGGTAGGAGGTCAGACGAAGCTCAAAGGATTGGTAATGACAGTAGATCTGATAAACCTGTCTTATACAAATACGAATACGATATACTTTATTGTCCCCGTAAGGAAATTTGTTCTGGACTCCGTCCTGCAGTGCATACATGTACATATACAAACATAGTGGACATTAAGAGACATACACATATCATCAGTCATACACCGTTTGAACAAACACAATACACAGACGCACATACTGACAATGGCGACCTATTGCACAACCCTCATGGCCAACATTTAAAAAGTACATTTCATTACATTTGACTACATACTGTATCATTTCATGTGAATGTTAAGAAGCTTAATGGACATAGGTAGGAATGAGTGCTTATAGTAGTTCAGCCTGCTCCTGGGAACCCTGAATCTTCTACCAGAAGGTAGGAGCTGGAATTCTGGGTGGAGTATGTGGGTGAAATCAGACACAATTTTTTTTGCCTGTCTGATAATCGACTGCTCGTATATGTTTTGGAGAGATGGGTGTTTTTTAACCCCCATAATCTTCATAGCAGTCTGTACCAGGCGAGCGATCTGTGACTTTGACTGCACTGTCAAGTTACCATACCAGGCAGTGATACCATACCTCATGATGCTCTCCAACACTGCATGATAGACATCACTCTTCATGTTTTGGCACTGCTTCTTTTGCATTGTTGTGCACCATTGACTTAAGTATGGCACCACTTGGTTACAACTTATAGGTACCTGCCCTATTGTTTTTGTCAAGCTTTAGGAACCTTAACCCTCCTTGGTTATTTTTCTATTGTGTGGGTCAAATGTTATCTTATTTTAGTCATTAGGGTTTTATATGAAGGAGGAAGCACACGACTGACACAACACTATTCATTAAAACTAGGGAGTGTTATTCTGTTTCATTAAGTATCATTTGGTCGATTGTAATGTTAATGCAAAGACATTTGTATTACTGTTATTATGTATTGTCATTAAGTGTAATTTAGTCAATTGTGATGCTGAATGTAAAACTGAATTAGTTTGAGATGTGTTTGTCATGACAAATTGGCATTAACATGCTACAACAGGCCACATTGTCAAACTTAAATAAAGGTTTTGTGTACTTATGTGTTAACATTACATAAAACCGTAATAACTGGCAGGATTGGATATTCCATTAAGATGTTAAATGTTATAAGGCCAGTTTGATAACAGGATTGACAGGGACAGAATAAATGGACAGAAGGCTTCACTTGTTGCTGAAGTAACTGCTAACAGTATTTGTAGTTATCTTGGTTATCTGTGCAGCTAGTGGCCATTTTAGCTGACCAGGCTCCGATGGTATAAAACCTAATGTTATCTTTATGGCAAGACAATATTGTAGCACTGTAATAAAGGTCAAGGTGCCACAGTATCTATGTATCTGCCGTTAGCTAGTTAGCTTGGTTATCCTTGCAGCTAGCAGCCATTTTAGCTTTAGCCAGGACCAGGGTTTTATTAAACTAAATGTCATCTTTATGACAAGTCAAAATTGTTCCAATTCAACAAAGGTCAATGTTACTTACTACTTACTTATGCGATCAATATGACTAGTCAAAATGATACCACTGTAGTAAAGTTAATGATTTGTATTATTATAAGGATGTAAAAACCAAGCACATTTTAATATGATGCTAACACCTTAAGCTAACTGGTTATTTAAATGTGATAATCAGGCTATACATCTCTATATTGCCGGTGTCATGCCAAGCTGTTGTTATAAAGAGATCTCCAATAATGTCAACTTTGCATTAAAAATGACTGTGACACTTAATGACAACATTAATAAACATTCTTAAAAAGGTTCATGACAGTTCTCATGTCAATCTATTAGTCACTGTTAACAATAAACGGTTACCATAATACCTACAAGGCCTGATTCTGTGACCACTTATCACTGAGCTGATCTTAATCTGCTTGTACCATTGATTTCCTTTTTAAGATGACACTTTACAACATAATATGCTGAATATTCAATTTACTTACTCACCGATGTTTCCTATGTTAAAACTAGGGCTGTGCAATTAATCGTATTTTAATCTCGATTACGATGTTGGCTTGCAACGATTACGAAAACAATGTAATCGAAATAAAACGATTATCATTTTTATTAAAAAAAAAAAAAAAAATTATTTTTAAAAAAAAATTATTGGTTTTTCAGTTTAATTATACTTAAAGTTCAAGGTAATCAACTGTTAAAAACATACTGTTCCAATTTTTTTTTCAATATATGGATGTTTTCAAAGTAAATGGATAATCGTTTTTAATAATCGTGATATCAATTATTGACCAAA